TTAAGCTGCCGCCTGCGGCTGCGCTGCAGCGACTGTCAAAGAGGGGCGCACGAGAAGAAAGAATTTAAACAAGGCAAGTCTCGCAGAGCAGACAGGCTCGACACAGGTGCGAACTGGCGCGTGCTAGTACTATCACCGGCACACCACCGGAGCCGCCTAAGCGACTCCGTTAAGAACGGCAATGCACTTAGCACCGTGCACAATGCCGCTGTCCCCGCACGCTAGCTCGTTCACCGTCTGCCACGCCACGGCGGTGTGGAGAACGACAGACAAGCGCTGCATCTGCAGCCCGTGCCAGTTCTTGGTGGTCCATGTGACCTCATCGAGGTGCTGAGCGTCGCTAGGGTGCCCACAGGACCCCAAAAAAGAAAAGGCCTTAGTATGATCTGTGACGTCGTTCGAGCTCCTTGCGCCAGCCTTCGTGCTGCGCTGCTGTGCTGGAGCGGCTGACGCAGGGATGGCTGAGCTCTGCCATAGGAACGCACATCATGTGGGTACTCTGCGGGTCACTTACTCACTCGAATCACAATTACGGCCCGACACGCACATACAAGACAAACCCGGCGTCCTGCTCTCAAAAGAAAAAGAAAAACGGGAATGAGGAGACCAGCGGGGGAGACTCCCCGCCTATGCAAGCCCCAGAGAGGGGCCGCCATCGCCGAAGCTGTGCCAAAGCATAACTCCAAAACCCGCAGCGGCCCAGGCGGCCTTGGGGGCAGCCTGCCGGACCGCCGCTGCACGGGGCTTAGGCACCAGAAGATGAGTGTAGTTGATGGATCGGGCTGTCGACCGTGCCTCCCCTCTTTTCGTCAGAGTGGGACTTACGCCGCGCCGGGTAGGGGGCGCGCCTGGTCCTCGACGGAGCCGCGCGCCCCAAACGACCCAGGCGGCGAGTAGTCGTCGTCGAACCTTCGGCACGTAGTCGCCCGTGGTCAGCGCCCTTCCTCCCTCGCCCGTCTCCCTATTCGTATTGCACCCGAGGCGCCCGCGGCATCTCGCCGCCCATCTTCGGCCACGCGTTGTAGTCGAAGATGGCGGCGTTGCGCCTCGCGATGATGGTCGAGTGCACTTGCAGGAAGCGCTTGCGCTCGCTGCTGACCCGCCATCGCTCGCTGTCGGAGGATGCCTTAGCAGCCTTGATGTCGAAGTTGGAGTTGAACCACGTCGCTGCCTCTTGCCCGATGCCGCCGCGCGTGCTCGCCGCCCACGTCATAAAGTCGCAGTTTTTGGCGTCGCACGCCGCTGCCTTGGCCCTCCTCTTCGTCGCCTCGGCGTAGTCGGTGGCAAGGTGCGTGCCGTTCGCCAGCGGGCGCAGCCTGCCGTAGTGCACCGAGGTGACGCACGTGCCGTCGTACACCACGGGTCGCGCCGACTCTGCCCAGTTCCCGAAGACGCCGTCGCCCCGCTGGTATGGATTGGTGTCCGGGTCGTGTGCCCGCGTCGGGTCCCTTCTGCTGGGCCTCGGAGAGGCTCTGCGGCGGCGTCCACGCCATGCCTTCCTTCGTCGCGGCCACGAAGGCTTCCCAGAACGCCGGTGCTCCCTTGCCGCGTCTCTTGTCGTGGTCGTACTTGCGCGCCTTGTAGGCGAACATGTGGAGGGCGCCCGAGATCACCACCAGCGTCTCCAGCGCCGTGTCCTCCCATCCGGGCGTGCCCGCCGCCTGACCGCCGGCGCTCTGCCCCGCCTCGTCGCGGGCCTGTCTGAGGGCGGCCATGCGTCGCTCCGCTCCGTCCCGTGCCCGTGTGAGGACCGTGCCGAGGGTCCTCCCCATGCGCCTCGCCTCCTCGTCGTCGCCGCCGGCCGTCGCTTCCGTCGCCGCTGCCCGTATCTGGCTCCACCCGATCGAGACGAGCCGTGGCGAGATCAGCATGAACTCGGAGAGGATGGTGCGGCCCGCCGCCTCCCAAACAGAACAGATTGTCAGAACAGCGAACTTGGACTCGAAGTTGAAAGTTGAAGTTTGTGTCAGAACAGGGCCTACGCCTCAACGTGAGAGTGTGTCGCCTTGGCGCGCTTGGTGGAGGACGTGCTGTGTGTGTTGATTGATTGAGTCCGTCCGTGGCTCGGAGGGAGACTTCAAGACAGGAAGAGGGAAGGAGCGAGGCAACTGGGAATGTCAGAGCCCCTGAGCTGTGAAGAGAGGGGAGGATTTTGCGCTGTCAGAACGTTGTCAGAACACTGTCAGAACACTGTCAGAACGCTGTCAGAACGCTGTCAGAACGGCCAGGTCTCTGTCAGAACATCTGCGGGAGCTCCACAAATCAGGTTGCCTGTCCGCATCTGTGTCGAGCATGTCTGACGGGAGAGAGAGCGACTCATCCCCGGTTCTGTTGGCGACGCGTCCCTCCCCGCTTCTCGGCCGGGTCGGCCAGCTTCTCGGCCGGGTCGGCCAGCTTCTCGGCCGGGTCGGCCAGCTTCTCGGCCGGGTCGGCCAGCTTCTCGGCCGGGTCGGCCAGCTTCTCGGCCGGGTCGGCCAGCTTCTCGGCCGGGACGGCCAGCTTCTCGATCGTCATCTGAGCCCACAGAGCTAGGATCAGACAAGTGCAGACGTTGGAAGGGGGGGGGGGGGGGCTCGAGGGCGGAGATAGCAGGCGACTGCGCGGCAAGGCTAGAAGGCGCGCACACCTCGAACGCCGGCTGCATCTTTTCAGCCGCGACGTACGACGCCTTGAGCGCTGGCGCTGGGGCCAGCGCATGTGTGGCGAGGGTGCCCACAAACGCTCCGCCTGCAACGGATTAGTACGAATTGTGTACAAGGGGCAAGCGGCGGGAATAGGGCCGAATGGTTTTGCGCACCAAAAGCGGCGGTGACGACGAGAAGCGTCTTCATGGCGCCGCTCTGGTTCGTATCCATCATGGCTACCTGTGGGCGCGCGTGAACCCGTAGAAGCAGGCGCGCGTGAGAGCAGCAGGCGCGCGCGAGAGCAGGCGCACGATACCCTATCGAGGGCGACGATTTCGCCCGTCCCGATTTTCGGCGACTAGTTTACGCGGATGTCAGCGAGGACCAACCGAACGCTTGTGGATGAGAACGAATAGGCACGGAAAGTTCTCAGTCGTTCTTCACACGGCAATCGCCTCGTCTTCATCTCAAGATCTTCATCTGCACGCTTATCTCCCGTCAGATCGGATCTCCCTGCCATTCGTGAAGTCCTGATCGGATGTCTCCCTCTCGTTTCCCTGGATGGAAGCTTCGGAAACGTGCAACAGGTAGAGGGGACCCTCTGGTTTCCGGCTGGGGTTGCTGGAAACCTATGACAGGCCCGCCAGCCAGAGGAGTCCCCTCTCGTCTAGGACATGTTTGTTTGGCATGGTTGGTGGGGGCGAGGGGGGAGAGAGAGAGAAATGTTGTCGTGTTTCAAACAGACAACCCAAGGGAGGGATGGGAGGAAGGCACGCCGCCACCACACAAGCGCACTTGGAGCACTTGGAGTGCAGTTATCAACCGCACATCCAGGGCCGGGGAGCTAAGAAGCGCACCCAGCGGGCCGGATGATTGGCATCGGGTTGCGGGCAAGAGAGCCCTAGCCCCGGGGGTGCGCGGTCGCAGGGCCATAACACGTCTCCGAGGGTTAGCCCCCCGCGTACCGGGTTACCCCTTAACTGCAGAACGCACCCTCTTCCTCGACCGTGGGGGGGTGCGCGGTCGCAGGGCCATAACACGGGTCTCCGAGGGCGTACGGCAGCGCTCCGGGTTTCCCTCAGCGGCGGAATTTTTCCCTCGCGCTTCCCTGGGCCCCCCTAGCAGCAGACCGCACCCCCTCTACTCGGAGCTAAAGAATACTCTCCGAGGGTTGGACCCGCGTACCAGGTTTCCCCTTAACTGCAAGGACGCCCCCTCTACTCGGAGCTAGAGATACGTGATACGGGAATACGTACCGCCCCCGGCTCAGTTTTTCTTACAGCGGCTGTATGCCCACACCCTGATGGCCGTGATAGCCCTGTGTGTGGGTAACTCAAGGGCTGCCTGCCCGATGAGCTGCTGCGCCTCGCTCTTAGCGGGTGTCCATGCGCACGCTTCCCTCCGCCCGCAAGAGGGCTAGCCTCGGCGCCAGCGCGGCTCCCTTGAACTTCCCGTGCCTTCCCCGAAACTGCTCTTCTACTTTGCTTGCAAGTACCCATGGCTTCTACGAACTTGCTAACCCTTGTTGGAAGGACTCAACC